CCGCCTGTTCTTATTTTATCCACATTAATTTTCAGCACGCGGATTGCGGGACTCGAGGCTTGCATTGAAATACCTCGCCTTAAGTATTATATCCGGTTCTGATGCTGACTTCATAACTTCGACTCTGTAAAGCATCAAAGAATTTATATACAAATGGAAATGTCGCGGTGGGTCCTACAACTTTGCTAATATCGAACAAGGCCAGGGGTCGGCAACCTTTTGAGTTAGAAGAGCCAAAAATTACAATTTACAAAATTTCACAGGTTTAAAAAAGCCACTAAAAATTTTCTTTTCAATATTATAGTACTTGCTTATGTAAAGGTATTTGATTTTGATTTAAAATAAATAACTTGAAGATAAGAAATAATACATATTTATTCATGCATAGTATTATTTTTTTTCACAACGAATTTAAGGTATTTAACTAGAAAATTAACATAATTAAATAATATAACAAAAGAATTGAGTAGTAAATCAGTCGAAACATTGATTTACTACTACGCAGGTTGCCGACGACGGCTGGACTAGACACTTATTTAGCACGAAGAAGGTTATTTTATATGAATTGTTTAACCTTATTATTATTTATTATATTATTATTCATACGTGTTAATTTTTAAATTTATTTATTATTAAACCAATTAGTCCACATTTGTTAGTAACAATAGTCTTATATTGAGAGGACAATTATAATCAATTAAATTAAATTAAGTACAACATTATAGTAGCAATAGAGGTCTTTGTGAATGAATTCGTCCAGGGAAGTACTTCCACCTTACCTATTTCTGCCGCCAAGCTGTAATTGCGTTTCGGTTTTGAAGGGTAAGGGTGCTGGTGCAATTACACTTATATTACTTGTCAACTTACGTCTAAGTCTAACTTATTTAATTTTAGTCATTTGCTGTCTCCACAAATTACTACTTGTTCTTATTAATATTATTGCATAATGTATAAATAAAATAACGTAATAAATTGTAAATTTTACGACGCCATTGGAAGGTTTGCTGGTACTTATAACACAGGTTTTCCTTTTTTAAGTACCAGCGGTCATATCTACTGATTCTTTGATACTTACTTACTGTACGCTATGCATGTTGTATTATTATTATGGCAAATAAATCTATTATTATTATTATTGTTACAAAGCTCTGGGTGACAATATTTCTTTTTTAAACTAGACCCCAAAAGTTCGTGGGTTCGTAATTACATTTATTGGCCAAGTTTTATTGAAATCGGTTACCGGAAAGAGCGCAAAACCGGGTTCATCCTCTAGTTTGCCACTCTTAGAGGTGGAACATTTTCTTCAAATTTAAATGAGACCAATGCTGAGGTAACCTCTTTCCAACAAAAAAAGAACCATCAAAATCGGTTCACAAATCCGGCCAGAGTTATCGCGTAACATACATATGAAAAAAATATCTATAAACTGAAACCAGACCAGCCGATCGGACGCGACGTGCGTCCTACCCGCCGATACTGCGCTAGTTAGGAATTATTACATGAATTGAATGTATGAAATACTGCTCTTGTGAGACATTAATAAAGAAGAACTAGAACTAGAAAAGGCTGCCACTACTGAAGCAAGCAATTCCATTAATGTTTATTTTTCTTAAAGAAATAAAAATAAACAAAATTTTTTTTTCAGTTGGAGATAGTACTTCTTTATTTTAATTTGCATATCGAAGCACTAAGCGGTTGAATCCATAAGCTAATGTATGTGTTTAAAAAACTACGCGCTTTTGCTGATTTTATAATAATCAGGCCATATTTTATAATAATAATTATGCCATATGTCATTCAATTATTACATATTGCATTACATCTTGGAGTGGTATTGCTAAAACTTCATTACTAACCATTGACAGAGCCCAGCGAGCGGTTCTAAAGGTTTCTATCTTCCGCCCTTTCCTTTACCCCGCTAACCTTCTACATAAGTCGTGTAAGCTACTAACTGTAAGGCAATTATTTATTAAGTCCACAGTTCTCAAACAGCACATTGCACTCCCATATAGTACTAAAAACACTAACAAAAGACGGAAAGATATTGTCTGCCCCAAAATTGTGATTTTTTGTGTTTCTTGGTCCAATTTTGTACAATAAATAATGTTTGTTACATAAAGGTTAAGAAAATTCTCCAAGAATTCCATCAAAATATGTCCTACGATGATACAGAGAATTTATTAATTATCTCAAGATAAATGTTGTCTAATTTAAACGTAATAGGTTATGATTTGCATTTCATTGTTTAATTATAATTATTGTTTTGTTTATATTTCAATATTTTTTTTGTTTATAATTTAATCATCATATGTATATTCACCTGTATAATTAATATTTTTTACCTGAAATACAGGATTCTCCTAGTTCAGATATATGTGTTATATTTTACATTTATTCGCATAATTAGTCTTAAGTTATTCGTTTGTACAATACGTTATTCAATAAACAATTTTATTATTTATTATTAATTTTAAAAGATTGAATGGATGACAGGTTGTACAGGGAAGAGGGAATATTATTCCATATTTTAGCGGCCATATATTTCAAACTACCGTAAAAGGCAGTTGTTTTATGCAACTTTATGTTGTAGGAAACAACCTTTGTGTTTTGCGTAAAAATCTTCCACGAAATCATCCAGAAGCGATGCAAAATCGAGGAAGCCTCAACAGAACTCTCAGTTCTAAATCAGCAGCGTAATGTATGTATATTATGAGTGGACGTGTCGCTTATCACCAAACGCACGCCTTGCATGTCCCAAATTAATACTATCGCTATACTTTGTAAATACTGTAATGATCACTTTATGTGGTATGTGGTAATGATTAACTGTTTAGAAGCTTCAATGATTAATATCATTAATAATAATGACGCAAGAAACTCGTTGCCCCGCACTAGGGTGCTGTCGCGGGTGTCATGGTCACACACGTAGACAACCACAAATTACACCCAAACTCACGAGAGAAATAAATGTAGGCCATACACATATTTCTCCCGGCCTGGGAATCGTACTCAGGGCCTCTGCGTGGTAGTCCAGGGTGGTAACCGTTCGGCCACAGATGCATTAGAGATTTATAGGAATCATATCACTTAAACTGACACGACATCACGTACAAGAATTAAAATTATTGCAGTCAATTGAACGTTCAATTGAAGATTCTAGAAATTAAAAAAAAATCCCATCACATCTTTATTTACATCAATTGTGTTGTTTCTATGAATGCGATTGTGATAATGATTGCATTGCATTTTTGCTTAACGAACTTTTAATTATTTCAAATTATATTCTTCCGAGCAAGGAAATTAATTAGGTTGGTTGATTTGTAATTCAGGTAAACAAAGTATTTCTTAATTTGTTATTTCTTCGAATCTATCAAACTTCTCAGCAATACTATTCGCAACAATGATTCGTACCAGAGACAAACCGATCAGCGCCATCGAATGCAGCAACCTTCATGAAAGCATAAGGTTGACCTGAACAAGTTTTCTCTTCTGGACAATCGACGAATATTTTCTATTGCTTCAGAGAACGCTATCGTGGCAAAATCTTTACATCCAGCTCCAGGTGTAAAAAAGACATTTTTAACCGACTTCGAAAAAAGAAGGTTCTTAATTCGACGTTTTCTTATTCGAATTTTACGTATGTTACACGATATCTCCGGCCCGAACCTATTTATATGATTCTTTTTTTGTTGGAAAAAGGGTACCTCAGTATTGTTCCCATTTAAATTTCAAGAAAATATTCCACCTCTACGGATGGCAAACCATGGAATAAATCCGGTTTCGCACACTTTCCGGTAACCGATTTCAATAAAACTTGGCAAATAGATATTTCCACGAACTTTTGAGGTCGGTTTCTTCAGCACTCTGTGCCGAGATCATTATGTTATCAAGCGACGGGGCGAACAAGCCGTGCGCCTGATGGTAGGCGACACACCTATCCGTGACTATGTGGCAGTGCCACTCAGAGCTTAAAATCGAAAATATCCGAGGAGCACTGCCACTACGCTCGTCACCTTAAAGGATAAGTTAACAAGTCCCGTGTGCCTGTTATTTCACCAGCACCTTACCCTTCAAAGCCGAAACCGGTAGAAATAGAGAAGGTGGGAATACTTCCCTGGACAAACACTACTCAGACTTAGTTTTTCTTATGAAGCGCTATCTCTAGGCTCTATAGCCAAGGATATAGAACAATGTTGTCTTCAAAAAGCGAGTATGAGCATATAGAGAGTGGCAGGAAAGTTTTACTACTTTTGCATGCATGATATCAAAATTATTTTGTGTGTCATATTACAAGCAATCACAACAACACCTGGTTTGCCGTCCTCGACCATGTCCACACTCATCAGATGAGATTGAGGTGAAATATTTACCTTTACATTTGTTTAAAATAAAATACACATTCGATACCTTGATCCTGGAAATGTTTTTTATAAAGAACGTAACTCAAGAAAGTATGTCGGAAATCTGAGAAATATTCAGACGTTACAGTTAAGTGAACTTTAAAACAAATTAGCGACATCTACATTCATCATCGAGAACCACTTCTCTGGCTAGTTTAATTCGCAACCCAAGCACTTTACAATGATCTACAAGTCATGCATTCTGGTTCCTAAAACTTCTTAACTTTTTGCATAGATGGCGCTACAACAAATGTTGATAAAATAGCTCGAGTAAATGTCTAAAAGGCTTAATTTTTAAACAAAATGTGATCTATGGGAATGATAAGAAATAGTTTCGGTAGAAAAACAATTTACATTGTTACAAAAAAATAAATTTGCTCCTTATATTATACATTGCTGTTACTTATTAAATTATTACTCATACAGCCTGTCTCTACCACTATATCCTTGCCCACACACTAAGTTAAACACCATAATATGTATGTGTAAATTTAATCTTAATAGTTTTATAGGTAATCTACTAAAGTAGCCGTAAAGTAAGTATTGTAAATAAGTGTTGTAATCATAATTAAGTAAAACACGACACTCGTCGTAATTAATTTTATTTACTTTCTAGTCGTCAACTATAACTAATAACAATAAGTATTTAAGTAAATAACATGTACACATCAAAAGTTAAAGAACTCGTCGTTATCGTAGGGTTGTTCCACAGACTCTTGGCCTCGAAGTTGCGACAATTTAAATCCAGTTTCTTGCACTTGATCTACTTTGGGTAGCTCTTGTTTAATCATTTCTTCTACATTTAATTTGTTCAGTTCTTGTTGTACTTTTTCCCTTAAAGGACCTTCTAGAGCATCCATTATCTGATACCTTAAAAGATTAGGAAGAATGTTCACCGCAAACTCAATTACGTAGTCCAGTGTCCCAGCGCCATCGCAACGCACCTGAATGTTACCAACCTCAAGATCAAGTCCTCTAAATTCTGGTTTCTTTCGTGTATCCAAAGGCTGCGCTAACACAATCCTGCCACTAACATATTCAGCGGAAAATGATGCAGTTCCCGCTCTGGACATAAGACCACTAAGTGCTGTGATTTCCCATTGAGTTGACCCTTCGAGTTTTTGGGTACCAATCTCAAAATCAGCTATTGCCGTATTGTTTTCCATCTTAAGAATAATGTCACCAACACGATGGAACGATGACAAGCCCGTCACCCAAGTACGAGTTAAGGTTATAGCAAAAATGCTTACTGTAGCATTGTAATCTTTTATCTGGTAAGGATCCATGTTCATATTTCTTACTTTCTTTCTTAAATCTGCTATTACCATGTCCAGAGGTGATATTGAATTCGGGAACTGCATGTCACCAGCTACTTCCTCGAGGTTCTTGTTTATTTCGTCCCTTGCTTTTCCGTACGCTTCTTTGAGGACGTAAGGCTTGATTGCATCGAAGATCACACTGCCAAGGCCGTTAATCATTCCTTGCACCATAGATCCGAAGAAACCCAAGTTTTGGAAATTAACATTAATAGCACTGAACGCAAGGTCTATGTGCATATCCTGAGCACGGAGTTTTCCATCTCGCTCGACTCCTAGATTGGCTCGCGCTAATATTTTGAGGCCAGTAATGTCAACAGTATAAGGACCTGATGCTTTTTGGAACCAGGAGACCATAGTGTAGTTACCACGAGCTTTTAGCTTGTCGATTAACATTGACGCATGAACCTGAAAATGTGAAATTGGTCACAAATAGTAAACGCTAGATTTATTGCAAGTTATTTTTTTTATGATAATAACGCACACACTCAACATGACAATAGGGAAACTCTGTGTCGCGAGTGCCATGGACACACACACATAGACAACAACAAAATTACACCCAAACCCACGAAATAAATAAATGTAGGCCATACAAATATTTATCCCGGCCCGAATTCGAACCTGGGACCTCTGCCGGACTGCCCGGCATGGTAACCGTTCGGCCACGGAGGCAGTTTGATTGGGATGTTAAATATTACAATAACAGCAAATTAGATTGCAAATTAACACTTAAACAATGTAAAAGATGTGTTATACTGTCTCATATCACAACAAAGAAAAATATTGAAATAAGAAAAATAGAAATAGATTATAGAAAATGAAACTATTTTTCCCGTATTTAATTTTCGTATATTTGATTTTTCTAACAAACCAACGTTTCGGGCCCTTTACAAGTCCCATGGTCATGGTTGACTGAGGTGGTAGAAACAAACAGATATAAGACTGCAGAACCAATTAATATATTTTAATTTATTCTAATTTCCATTATTAATTAAAAATTAATATAAATTATTAAAATTCGTACTGTTAAAGTAAAATAATTTGTAATACAAATGTAGCGCTTTAAAATTAGATATAACTGGTTGATAACTTTACCATCTCAGTCAGCCGTGACCATAGGACCTGTAAAGGGCCCGAAATGTTGGTTTCTTTGAATAAACAAATATACGCGATTTAAAACCAGAAAAAATAGTTACATTTCCTAGGTATAACAGTCGCGAAAACCTTAGAACTCGATAGAAATGGAATATAAATTTTAATTTTATTGAACATCATGATGTTTTTAATACTATAACATTAATATGAGTAAGTTTGTTACTATTATTAATACAAAGATCAAACAACCAAAGCATAATTTCAGTACAGAGTACTATAAAAACCGACCTCAAAAGTTCGAGGAATCACATTTATTTGCCAAGTTTTATTGAAATCGGTTACCCGAAAGTGCGCGAAATGGTATATACATAGGGCGCACTATAAACTTCCGGAACTGGCCATTTAGATAAACAATATTTAAAAAGTAATTACAACATTTGAAAATGGAACTCTTTGGCTGTAGTACAGTTTGTTTCATCTGACTGTCACTTGTTTTTACTTTGTGGCGTCGGTTCAGAAATTGGTTGTCTACATCATCATGTAGAAAAAACTAACTCGTGAAAATTTTCGTAGTATGATTTTCTACGACTTTAAGTGTAATATAACAGCTCAGCGGAGCTTCGCTCGGCTTCAAACTGCTTTTGGCAATGAAGCACCATGTAAGACGACTATTTATAGCTGATTCGTAAAATTCAAACGCGGTCGTGTGAATCTCAGTGACGAATTTGGTGATGGTCGCCTATCCACTGTTGTGAACAACAAAAACATCGATGCTGTGCGCCGTATGATCAAAACAGACAGGCATGTGACATACCATGAGATTTGGGCATCTTTAGGCATAAGCATGAGTCAAATACAATCAATACTACACAAACACAAACATCCCACACAATTTGACTAAGGCTCAAAAAACGGATCGCGTCACTTGGTGCAATGCCATGCTTGCCAGATTCAACGAAGGTACGACAAATTTGGTGTGGGACATAGTAACAGGTGACGAAACATGGATTTATAGTTACGATCCCAAAACAAAGCAGCAATCGAGCGTATGGGTCTTTCGAGATGAGCCGAAACCAATCAAAGTGGCGCGCGTGCAAAGTGCTTCTAAGCGGATGATTGCTTCTTTTTTTAATAAAACTGTACACGTGTCTACTGTTGCTTTGGAAAATCGTTGTACCGTGAATAGTGATTGGTACACGACCATTTGTTTGCCGGAAGTTATTGACAAACTCCGTAAAAATAACCGTAAACGCCGTATCATCTTGCACCACGATAATGCCAGTTCTCACACGGCCATACAGACAAATGAATTTTTGAAGGTGAACAACGTTGACCTTATGAGCCATCCCGCGTACAATCCCGACCTGGTACCTTGTGACTTTCATTTATTTCCAAAAATTAAGAACAATTTTCATCGCCTGAAGAGGCTGTCGAAGAGTATGAAAAATAAATGCATAAATGTTTTCAAAATTGGTTCATTCGTATGAAAAAGTGCATTAACGCTAACGGAGAATATTTTCAGAAACAATAAATTCATTCCTGACCATTTATTGTATTTTTTCTTATTCATTCCAAAAACTTATTATAGTGCGCCCCTCGTATCCCTATCCACCCTTAGATTAATATTTTCTACAAATTTAACTGGGACCAATACTGAGGTACCCTCTTTCTAACACAAAAAGAATTATCAAAATAGGTTCACAGATTTATCGCATAACATACATACAAAAAATACAGTTGAATTGAGCACCTCCTTCTTTTTTAAAGTCTGTTAAAAATAAGCTAATGACTGAGTCTCGGTCTGTGGCTCAGTTGGTAAGAGCGATGGCGGTTGGTAAGATTGTGTTGTTCGTTCTTTGTATCTTTAATAAAAGAATAGAATTTTTTTAAATAATTTCTAATTATCTCCGAATAAAATATAAAAAAAACATTACCTACTTTTAAATACTTGTTTTTAAAATTATTATTAAATTGTTCTTTCAAATTTTGACCTTTTTTTACAATATTTATTATTTTAATAAATACGACGCAGTGAATAGATTTAAATATAGGTACTAATTTGTAACATACTTGAGTATATTACTATGTTGAACGTAATTATTAAATCATAAACGTACTTTGTCACGTTATTTTCTTTTTTAAGCTACTATGATTTATAATTGGCAATACATACTGGTCATCTAAAATAGATTTCTAAGTTTGAATTGTATGCTGTTTGATGTCAATTAATAAATAAATAAAATTTTATATAAATCTTTAAATTAAACCTTACCTCCATAGCCCCAATTTCAACGTTCACAGACACTATCCTGAATTTGCTGATGCCATAAACAGCTGTATTCTTAAAGTTCACCGTGGCGAAACTCAAGGATTGCTTCATATCGGGCACGGGGTAAGGATCGGGGATTTCCGCCCCCGGTAGACCAACTGGGTCTGGTTTTTTAAAATGTTCAAGAATCAGAAGAAGTTGTTCACTCATCTTTTTCTCTCCTTCTGCAAGGCGTGGGTCAGTGTGTGGCTGGACATCTGAAATTTGATTAAATACAATATTTACATCCAGACGTGGAATTTACTGCATTATTTTTTATATTAAAATCGAACACCGCAAAGAAAAATGGCTAGCCTATGATTTAATCGTAGGATTTAGACAGTCTCTGGTAAATAATATGTAAAACGAGATGTTTGAAAATGGAAAGTATATTTATTCACTCATTCATATCGATTTTCATGAACAAAATACGTCGTTAATTATCTATTGCCCACCATTATTTTAATTAAAATGTTAAAACCTTTTTCTTTTTCAGAAATAAATATATTTATTTGATGATAGTAAGTTCTGACCTTGCATTAAAATAAACATTTAAATACATGACAAATATACTTGGACTTTAATTAATCATAAATTGGACACGTTTCTACATAATCCCAAGAGTATTCAAAACAAAGAACACAATTTGTTGACCCCAGCACATTATTATTTGATCCGCGTGTCTTGACAAGACAAAGATAGGACATTCCGCATTGGTTCATCAAACCGTTAAACACAATACCTCACGATTGAACAATCATTATTATTTTTTATAAAGTTTGCTGTCGAATGTTATAACATCCTATAGCTTTTTTGGTTCGCTCTAAATGAAAGAGGTTGTAGCAATAATGTCAAATTATCAAAATAGCAGATTGAAAGTGATTGATTGTGGTTGCTATGAAACGACTAGAAAGTAGTGATAATTAAATGGGAATAGACAAGAAAAAGCAAGAGAACAATGACAAAAAATTAGACCGACGAAAACTTCACTACGAAAATTTCTTGTTCACAAAAACAACACAGAAATAGAGAACTGCATCGACGGCACACTTTGTAACTTCACTTCTACTTAGTAATAGGTACTTTCAAAATTTTCATAGCACTAAAAACACACCTCGACCGTGTCCAAAAGCGGTAAAAACCAAGCCGAAACAAATGAAAGTCGGCCACATCCCGTTTATCCCGTTTGACAAGCGATGAATGAATGGGTAATGTTCCCTCTAGGGGCAGAGTTCAGAGCTTATCTCTTCAATACATTAATCATCTTTTCGAATTATTATAAGCGTCGTTGAGGAGCAGGGGAAGGGTTGCGGTGCAGCGGTGTGTTAAATTTGTACGATACTGCCAACAAGTTCTAAAGTTTGTCGTTTGTTTATTTTATCTTTGTAATTTTGTGCGACATTTTTTCGCCTTACTTCGTTATCGGATGCGTATTTGTAATTCGAACTGTTTACTGATTTGTGTAGTTCGTCTTTTGTTTTGTTCGTTTTTAAGTAATGACGTGATTTAAGTAATTCTAGATCGTTAATAGAATGGAATAATATTGTTGACTATGTAATATATAATTGTAATGTTTAGAAATGTACAAAATTATATAAATAATTACTATGAAAATGTTTTTTTTTAAAGTATTTATATGTTTGTTTTTAAAGTATTTATATCTCTTCTTTTCGGGCGGCACAAGACTAGAAGATTTGGAGTGGTCTGACGGAGGCGTAATGCATATAAGTGAATAAGCGTTTAAAGTCCCCACATCGTATTGGAGCTGCGTGGTGGACATTAAAATATAAGATGTATCCACGCATCTATTCTTCTTATTCTTTATACAACTATGGCTCTACGCGGATAGTATTTTAGTAAAAGACAAATTTAATGACCTTTTTAACCGACTTCAAAAAAGGGCAAGTTCTCAATTTGGTTTGACTATGTTTTTTTGTATGTACAACGTACGTAATTATTCTGACATTTGTGAACCGATTTCGATAATTCCTAATTGAAAATCCCGAGCCGACTTGCACCTGTCCCGCACTTGCGCTTGGTGTATTGTCATCCATATAAATTACACCCTCCGTGCTCCCGACCCGACACGCACCCGTTCCCTGTGTGTTTGTAAGGGTTGCCACCCTGTAATGCGCGGGAACGGCTTCACCACCATGCTGCGGAAGCAAGTAGCGTCCCTGATGAGCAGGGTGTGAGGCAGCGCCAACGGCTTCATTCGGACGGTGGCCGAGAGCGACGACGGGCCAATACGGTGTCAATGAATAGTAGAAATAATTTGCAAAGAACAACAAATTTTTTTAAAGTCTTAATAGAATTAAATACCAGGGGATATTTAATACTAAAAATTCTGACACCTGATTCACAAGTCTGATTAAAAGTCGGGTAGGTACATAAATGAAAGGAGACTGGAACTAGCGTAAAGGCCATTGGTCGTTAATGAACTTGACCTTTCCTTCGAACAAGATCAAGAGACATTTGTTGCGCCTTGTCTTGAATATGTCTTTTAATATTGGATTGTTATTGGCATATTATGACATTTATGTGTGTTATATACTAAGGTTTTTTTTTGTACTGTTTACATACGGGTAAATGGACAGACGGTTCACCTGATGGAAAGTGGTTTCTACAGACATTTGCAATACTAAATTATGTTGCGGGACGACGAGTATGACATCGTAACTCTCATATTAAAAATTCAAAATATCTTTATTTAATAACACTTACATTCGTCTAGTCGAAGCTTTTCGCCTTCTTTTATCACTTTCGCTTTCTTCTTCACCTTCCACACTCACCTTACCCCTATCAACTATCATTTTCCCTGTAATTTAGATAATTATCTACAAAAAAACTTTCGCTCCCCAATATTCTAATTAAGACAAGTAAATGAGCTTCCAGCTAGATGACAGAAGAGTATGTATTCTTAATTTGTAAAACCATTGTTGTTTGGGACATCCCAATCCCTACCAGATCCATAATAATCTAGCCCCGCAATAGGGAAACCTCACTAGGGATCTCATGGACACACACATAGACAAGAATAAATTAGACCCAAACTCACAAGAGAAATAAATGTAGGTCATACAAATATCTCTCCCGGCCTGGGAATTGAACCCGGAACCTCTGCGTGGCAGACCAGCATGGTAACCGTTCAATCAGGGAGGCAGTTAAGAGTTCACAACATAATGTGGTCATAGACACAACAAGTCGTGATTCTCTTGTAAGCGGTTCTTCTTTGAACACAACAATGTTGAATTTATTTGGAAGGATACCTAGCAAATACTGTAATATTAAAAAGAGGACATTCAGTATTGATTTCGGAGATATGATCGTTGAACAATGCTAATTTATCATTTGTTCACGTTTTCTATTCTAATTCATCAGGACATCGTTAATAACGCTAGCAGATGAGTAAACAGTGAATTAACGTCTTAATGCCATAGTTCACAAAATGCAATAACACGTTAGGTCCTTTTGAAATTATATTATGATGCTAAATATAAAAAGTGCCTCCGACAGAGAGAAAAACCCTATAAATTGAAAAATATACGGAAATCAGGGTAATAAGGGATCCTCGTCATACTCTTCATTCTAATAAGTTAATAAAACAAGGTGGTTGAGTTAGATTGTCCGTTTCGTCTGAGATTGTAAAAACAACTGATTCGACAACAGGCGAAAGCTCGTCAGTTAGTGAGGCAGTATTGTAAGTAATGATCAAAATCGAATCTTGAAAAGTTATATTACAGGCGAATGCTAGTCAATCCATGAGGCAGTATTGTAACGTAATGCTTAAAATCGCGTCTTGGATTGTTACAATACCAGGCTCCCGGTGAGGGACCGCCTTAATAGAAAAAGCCAGGTTAATTTTCTTCAGTGGATTGAAGCAATAAAAAGTAGTCACGTATCCTGCTCTGACATATTGCATACTTAAAAGCACCTTACGTGAGTATGTCATAAATCACCAAGAAACTATTACTATCGCAGGTGAATAAACCTATCCCGTTACAAAAAGATAACGTTATCGTTACACAAGGAAACCCTTACGCACGCGTTACAGTTATCTTTCTATATTGGTATCGTAAAAATAATTTTCATCACACTTTCTCGTAAACAGTGCCATAACATGCACGCAAAGTCGATCGTAATGTCCTAAATTATGCCCACGGGTTTTTTCATTACATTATCGGCCTATGCAATTTTTATAATAAGATTCCATAATAAATAAACAAACACTACTAAAAATGCATTGCCCTGGAAAAAATTGTTTAACTTGGCTACAATACTTTCAATATTGGTCATATTCCTTCCTGTATACAACTCATAATATCGCACCCATGGTGTCATAAGGCCACATCTTCAAAACGAAGTGGAATTCCTTGCCTGCAGACCATATTCCCGGAATGCTATAACTTGGGGCCTTCTCAAGGTGAGAGTGACTAGCATTGTTTGGGTGTGCATGCTATATCATTGACTTCGTCGTCACTTTCCATCAGGTGAGATGAAGGTTATATACGCACTTATTCTATCATAAAAAAGACAACTTCTCCGGACAGAGGTTTAAAGTTTCTTCGAAGGAAATTACTCGGTAAGTCTTTTATACGTAAGAGTCAATACAACATCAAATGGCTGTGGTTGATTCCGCATAATAGCGAAAGTGTTGAATTAATCGCTTTAGAAAAAATAAAAAAAAAACAAAATATTTAAAAAAAAATCTTTAAAACTCCTTAAAAAAAATATATAGTAAAATTAATGATATACGCTGATTAATATATGGTGTAAAAATACGACTCCTAAAAATATTCACGATACAAAAAAATCACACACTTTCGTCGAAATTTTACAAGAAAATCGCTATATTCAAAATGTACCTTACATATGCCAATGATTTTTTTATATCAATTGAATTAAATAGAACACGTGTAAGTAGTATATGATATGCATTTTTAAAACGGCCTTAATTTTGTTCGTAAAAAATAAATTCTGAAATAAAGCCGGTGTCCCCTATCCCTTGACTCGCGCAAAATTTTATTTGAGCTGAGTAGTATAGACTCTTAAAGTAGTCCATATTATTTTTATGACTTTCAGTTGATGAAAGCACTTTTGACGTATGACCACATGTGGCTTTAATACATATTGCGCTGTTAACACGGTAATGTATTAACTCAAAAAGTGTATTTCTCAGAATCGATGAAAAACTAATTACTCACTTGCAGTGATAGATCATAATAATTTATGTTTAGGTTAAAGTTTGTCACAGACATCTAATTTTTTATTGAATTGATATTCAATTATTTTTTGTGAGATTACTCCACTAGTTTGTTATAATTATTAATACAAAAATCGAACACTTAGAAATAATTCCTTCGATCCGGCCGGATTCGAACCGACGCGACGTCTCCTGGCAAACCGTGCTAGATGCCATGCCAACTAAGCGACGAAACAAACTCTACGTTCAGTAATGATAATTATAATCTTAAATGTCACATATTTTGAGTTGCATCACTATTGTACTATTAGTGCGGTTATATCAAGTGTACGATATAATATCGTTTTGTGATATCATAAATGCATGACACGATTTTTGACCTCTCAGATATAAATTAACCTTAAGGTCTCATTCAACTTCGTTTATTCTCAATACAATGTTTGATTCAGTATATCATTATGTGGAACGTGTGCGGAGTCGTGATTTTGGTGCTGTTTAATGAGAAATATTGTCGCGGTCAAGGTGCGAGTGCTTTCCTGTGTACTTATTCTAGTAACTCGAAAAATAAATCAACTAACAGTCAACATTGTGTTCAAAACATATTCTCTAATGAATAAACTAACGTGGTGTACTGTACATAACATGTATGCAATTTAATTTATTTTCAATTCATTTGAAATTATCATATTACAAGAATTCTACAACTTGAATAAGAATTTAGGACGCTCAATCCCTTTTACAATCTGATGAGGGAATCTAATAAAGAACTATGTTCTCGTTAACATTTCAGATGTACTGCAAGAAACAACAACGCTAGGCGAATCTATTGAAGAAACGTTTGACTCCGCAAATGTCATTGATGGCTCTACAGCTTTTACAGATAATCCAGACAATTGGAACAGTTTTGGTGAAATAGCAACCTTTGATAATATTTTTAATGACAATTATACATCTTTTAATGAATGGAACACCGACAACTTAAGTATCTTTGGTACTTCCAATACAGAAAATATAACAGTTTGGAATATTTTTGAAGATTCAATTATAGAGACTACAGAATTTAATAATACAAATAAATCACAAAATTTAGTTAGTACTGTAATCCAAACTGGTTATGAACACAATGTTGTTGAAGATACTGAAATTTCCAATACCGAAACGACAAAACTTTTAGGTGAATTTATCGATTCGTCTTCCACTACGGAATTCACAGGTTATTTCGATTTCGATGAATTTCAAGAATCAACAACTAATATAGCGCACTTTGAAGATACAACTAAAGCAGTAGTTGAAGAACCAAATTTCAGTGAATTAATCCCAAAAATTATTGAAGAGTTAAAACAGCCCTACTTCGAAGGGATACCAGGAGTGGACATTCCGGACCCTGATCCAATCCCAGATATGTCACAATCACTTACGATTTTTGATAAATTGTATTTCACCAATTCTGCTGTACGAGGATTGAGCAAACTTAGGATTTTGTATATTAATATTGACGTCGAAGCGTCAGAGGTAAGCTATAGCTATATTTGGATTCCAAGGCTCCACGAATAAGAAATTCTATGTTATGATAGTAATATTGTTATTAGTACTAAAAATAATTAAAAATAACCGTAACCACGTTTCAATTTTCCAGGTTCAGGCCGCTATGCACATCGATACACTCCACACATCAGGCAACTATAGGTACAGTTCATTCATGACATCTCGGAATGGTCCCTATAGCGTTATTATCCGAAACCTTCTAGTCACAGCTCGAGCGAATATTGGTGTACAAATAGACGGTAAACTGAGAGCGCAAGACATCACCATGGAGCTTAGTCACGAAAGCATTGACGTCAAATTTGAAAATTTAGACCCTTTAATTGCAGGAATTGTCAATAACGCTGGGAACTTTATATTTGATACAGTAAAACCTTACATGCTGAAAGATGCTTATACGAAAGCCAGAACAGCTATTGACACTGAGTTAGAAAAGACAGCTGAGGATTTGCAATTTCCCAATAGCTTACCACCTTTAGACATGATACTTATAGATGTAGGTAAAAAAGTTAGAGAGTTAGGTTTTGACCCTTATAGATTAAAAGATTATGTAAGTAATGATACCGTGCCATTTTTTTCTGTTGCTCTATATAATACGTGGATAACAGGTGTATCTACTTTTCATAGAGTTGGAAATATTACTGTGAAGGTTGCTAATGGTACTGCAGTTCTAGACTTCGAAGTTGGAACTAAAACAATAGAAGGCAGTACTCATTGGAATGTCACGGTGTGCAAAATTATTTCTAATATTGGGAAAATTAATTTTTCTATTGAGCATTTTAGTGTTAGGGTAGTTATAAGTCAACCTTTAGATATAAGACTGACGCCCAAATTAATAGACTTGCAAATTGATGTTGGTAATTTACAAATGCGTTCGGATGGAGCTGGTACAGCTGATTACATTTTAGAATTAGCAGTGAACATCATACCTAATTTAATAAGGTATCACATAGTGGATGCCTTACAGTGGCCTTTGAGAAATAAAATACAGGAGAAACTGGATAAACTTAATGTAGAAGAAACAATAAAGCAAGAATTGCTGCCAAAAATTCATGAAATTGAGAAAACAGGATTCAAATTGTCATTCTTGAGATCTGTTAGAGTCGATTCATATGATGATGATGAATTTTTCAATTTCTAAATGTAATGTATTTAATAAACAATTTCATACATTTGTCCTAAAGGATAATAGGAACAGAACAAAGAAACTTTGTATCACACGCAAGGAGGAAGATCTAAACAACATAAAGACAAGAGGATGATGTCTGAGTCAATATAACCATATATAAGCGACAAAATATGTATTATTTTCCTATAAAATTAAATTACTTACTATTACATGCAAATATAAATTTACAAACCCAACATATGATAGCACAGAAAAGTGGAGTGCAAACTTATTAATTGACAGGGATACCCTATAGTCCGTCTTTTTAGAAGATGGAATAAAATGACATTTTTAGGGAAGCCAGTATTCATAAATTTTTAAATAGTCATGTAGTTTTATCGATAGATTGTGAAAGAAAATTGTTTTGGGTATTTCTGCTCCGCCGTGTATTAAATAAAATTTGTTTTTTTTAAATTGTTAGTCAATTAATTAATCGGATTTTCGGACACTTTAAAAAAATCCCTTCCGGACGTTCCCCGGATGCCCTTCAAACTAAGACAAGTCAGGGGAAACCCGAACGGATGGCAGCCCTAGCCTTTTTAGGAAATCATTGTAATAAAATACGCTTTACACAAATGTTTGACGTCATTTCTCTTTAAGCCTTAAAGGCATTATAATTATTAAGTAGAATTACATTTCATAAAAAAACATTTACATGATTTTTAAAGCGCAAAACCACATCGTTATGGATTTTAAAACATTAAAAAATATTTCTACGAATTTCATAACCTGTTCTCGGTTGACAAGTACAGCAGTGTAAATAAGGAAAGACAAATGCGAAATCGAAAATACTGGACCGTCAATGTACATCTAGAAATACAAAACAAATTGATTCTCTATTTATTTATTATTATTACACGTTTATAAGTATCTTGAAATTTTTTTTTATTATGCCGAGTGACGGATGGAGCCATTGCAGTGCCACTCAGAACTTTAAATCGCAATGACCTGAGGCCACGGCCACTGCAGCTGTAACCCAGAGACATAAGACAAGTCCCATGTGCCTGTAATTTGGATGCTGATAAGCGATGACGTGTCAAATAAAATGGTCATAGTTTTGCGAGAATGGCATCTAAAGACTTTTTCGTTGTTTTTGGTGGTTTGCCCTATAATTTACTTCTAAAATGAAAACTTTTGACGTGTTTGTTGTTGTTGGGGTATTATAGTAATAAACCACAACAATTTCATCATTACTGAGATGACAACAGCGAGAGTTTTCATTTTACAAGTAAATTTTAGAACAAAATATCAAAACCAACGAAACAATCTATAGATACCATTTTCGCAAAACTATGATCATGTTGTAATTAAATTTTATTTTATGTCAGTATGTTTCACCACCCTCATATTCAAATTTTTTTTTGTGAAATTACTCCACTAGTTTGTTATAATTATTAATTCAAATTCAATTCAAATTCAAAAAGTTTTTTTCAGACATAGTCCATATTAATGTTAGTTACAAAAAAGTTCTTACAACCTATGTTAATACTAAATTTGTGAAATATTACAATAACTTATAAATTAAACCCCTGGAACCCATGTGGACTGAGTTCCAGTGCTTCCACAATTCATTAACAGGGTTCTCCCAGATCAAACGAACTAGGCTATTGGAACTGCCACGCACGCGACGCATCAGGGAGGCAGTTCTTTTCCGAATAATCGCGCTGAAGCTATCAATTCGTGCGTCCGCGAACATACCTGATGCGCTGCAAAATCGTGGCAGCCCCAATAGCATCCTAAGACCATTATTGTATTGGACACGCAGGGCATTGACCGTCGCTTTAGTGTAATTTGTCCACAGGCTGCACGTATAGAAGGTCTGACAAAACGCCCTGAAGGGTGGCTTTGACATTACCCTCACAACGCGCAAACCTGCGTGACAACATTATTACAACGTACGGCCAACGCTCTGCGCTCCCTCTCCATATCTACATCATCCTGCAGATTTTCTGTGACCCAGTGCCCTAGGTATTTAAACCTTGCTACTCTCTTGAGAGACGCACCACACAAATAAATAGGAGGGATTGAAGCAAGGGCTTTGTTACCGGCTTTAAACACTAAAAGCTCGCTTTTATTTGTGTTATATGTTAGACCGTGAGTCATCGCATACTCCTCACAAATACTTAATAGTTTTACTAGCGCACTGATCGACGGGCACAGCAGCACCATATCATCTGCATAACTAATATTATTGACAGTGATACCACCGATCGAGCATCCAATTCCCGTGCTGCTGAGTCTGGCGATCAGCTCATCTATATACAAGTTAAACAACCTGGGTGAGCTGAGACCTCCTTGTCTCACTCTACACTCTAACCTATACACATCCGAGAGAGCACCTGCCCACCTCACCTGGTTGGTTTGATTAGCGTACCAGAAGCGGAGCAGGTCGATTACCTCACTTGGGGTATTTGTGCGTTTTTCCAATTTGTCCCAAAGGATACTTACTATACGAGACTGTATCAAAAGCCCTGGATAGATCCAAAAAGTAGGCAAACACTGGCGTTTGCCCCCTGGTGTAGTATTGGACGGTATGTTTAAAGCATAAAATTTAAACCCGTTAAAACCAAATTGGGCGTCCTGGGTCTTTACATACTTTGATAACACACCGTCCAGCAGTCCATCCAGCACTTTAGCCGCTACTGTTGCCAGTGATATCGGCCTATAATTGGATCCACCGGAGGCATCTCCTGTCCTATTTTTCGCTATGGGCACAACAATTGTTTTCATCAGGCTGTCGGGAAGGTAGGCATGACTAATGCACAGGTTAAAAAGCATCTTTAGAACCCGGGGCAAGTGTGTCCCAGCATGTAGGAAATGCTCTATACTAAGACCGTCATGCCCCGGTGACTTTCCTCTCGTCATGGACTTAATGGAACGTTCAACCTCCTTGAAAGAGAATCGGACCAGCCCAACAGCCGGACTATCACTAGCAGTGCCCACATCCTGCGTTACCCCAAGCGGGCTCTCTAATTTAAAGTGTTTTCGAAACATGTTCGATACAAAGAATCAAAACAAAGATCGAACTCTTAGATAAAATTCCTTCGATCCAGCTGGATTCGAACCAACAATTTCTAGCAAACCGTACCAGACACTATGCAAACTAAACCACGGAACGAACCAATGGACCTTACGAATCCATTGTGCTTGTTGCACATCTTTGCTTTTGTTTTTTAACGACTTTCTTGTCGTAGCGCAACTTTATTTCTGTGACAAATCTATTTCACGTTATTGCTCATCATCATTCATGTCACCCATCACGCTTACTCTTACCTTCAAAACCGGAACGCAGTAATGCTCACATTACTGCTTGGCGGCTTATAAATATAAATAGCATAACTGCATTTAAAATTGGTTAACGGTAGTAAGTACGTTGAGACAATAATTTACTTAGTCATTTTTCTTTAGTACTGCGTACATTTTGCAACGGTATTAGCACATCTTCATGGAGGCTATGTTTCGTTTATATTAATAATAATAAAACATATAAATAATCTTTAGTTTGGTTTGTAGTAATAAGATCTTTCCTTTTTTTTTCTTTTGTCACAATCGTAGCCCAGCACTAGTGACACACACATAGACTACCACAAATTACACTTAAAATCACGAGAGAAATCAATATAGGCCATACAAATATTTCTCCCGGCTTGGGAATCGAACCCGGGACCTCTACGTGGCAGATCAGTAAAGTTACCGTTCGGCCGCGGAGGCAGTAACTTTCTTGAGAGAAATTAAATCTATTTGTTTATTTTTAGGTTCAATCGTTTACCTGGGACCTCTGTGTGGCAATCCAACATGTTAACTGTTCGGCCACGAAGGTAATTAGTTAAACTTATGGTAGTTTTAACAACAATGGTTCGAGTAGAAGTATTGTCTTTATTTCTTTTTAATAAAAAAACCTGATGGAAAGTGACGACGATGTCGATGATTGAGCATGCACGGTCCAAGTTATAGCGTTCGGAGAACAAGTCCACAGGCAGGGAATTCCGCTTGTTAACCGTTCGCCATGTAAATGTGGAAGCGAAACGCTTAGTACGAATCCTGGGAATATCCACAACATAGGGGTGGAACCTCTACCCGTTTAGTCCCCCGGTGATGAAGTAATATTCAAATATTTTTTTTTTTTTTTTTAATAATAATAACGCACACACTCAACATAGCCCCGCACTAGGGAAACCCTGTGTCGCGGGTGCCATGGACACACACATAGACAACCACAAATTACACCCAAACTCACGAGAGAAATAAATGTAGGCCATACAAACATTTCTCCCGGCCCGGGAATCGAACCCGGGGACCTCTGCGTGGCAGTACGGTATGGTAACCGTTCGGCCACGGAGGCAGTTAAAATTAAGAGCAAAATGTAATTATATATTTAAAGAAGAACGGTGACTCCTAACACAGGCTATGTCAAGCTTAAGGGAAACATCGGCCTCTAAATTAAGCTTATTAACAAATAAAACATTTTTATTTTTTTAATAATAATGTCTCAAACTAGGAAATTCCCTGTAGTATAATAATAATAATAATAATAGCGTAAGTGCGTGCGTGCGTTTCGTTTGGGCGTTTGGGCGTGCGTTCATGCGTGCGTGAGTGCGTGCGTGCATGCGTGCGTGCGTGCGTGTGTGTGTGTGCGTGCGCGGGTGTGAGTCCTACCGGAATCAGACCCGCGACCTCATTCAACAATGTTAGATTTGGTTCTCCCATTAAGTAAATGTATGCTTCTGTTGGGAAAGCCTTCCAACTTCCATAAGCTTAAAACTGAGAATTTATAACAAAATCAGTAGCTTAGTTAAACAAGATAGTATGATATTTAAAATTGAAAACAACAACAAATGTTCAGTATGTAATTAAAGTTTATATGTCAGAACGTTGCATTGCACTGTGTGTTTTATGACATTGTGGCGGTCAAGAAAATAAAAAATATTTTAGACATGCACCCAAAGCACTCTGATACCTTTATTCAAGGCATACACACGGCCAGCCTTGGATATTGGTAAATATTGTAACGAGACAAATCCAATATTTGTACAGTTAACAAAAGGTACGCCTGAAATATTACTTCTGCAAACTATAAAAGCCTTAAAAGCTGTTACCTACTAAAGCAACATTTTTTAACGCACACACGCATAATCCCGCACTAGGGAAATCCTGTAACACGGGTACCATAGACACACACATAGATAACCACAAATTACACCCAAACTCACGAGAGAAATAAATGTAGACCATACAAATATTTCTCCCGGCCCAGGAATCGAACACGGCACCTCTACGTAGCAGACCAGCACGATAACCGTACAGCCACGGTGGAAGTTAAATTAATTTAATGACTGATTCGTTATCCCGTTAGCAATAAACTTTCTCCGTTTTTTATTCTATAACAAAAATGGTAGCCAATATATAGCGCGTGATGATCCATCACAAAGCTCTTAATGGCATGCGTTTGAAGTTAAAGTTTCCCATAAATAGGTCACCGCGATCACGACTTAAAGGCGACAGAATAAAATCAATCGGCATCTTCATAAAAGATCTGATCGGTTATAAAGAACCGGCTACAGTTTGCGGTCAATGCTTGAAGGAAAGGAGAGTGTTCATCCGGCCGGCTGAATGTCTCACACCATTACTCCCGCCGTGGCAGAACGCACCGCACGCTTGCCCGGCTAAAAAAAAGTAAAATACAAATTCTTTTGTTCAAAATTTTTAAATTTTGAACTTAGGACAAAACAGAAAAAGCGCGAATTATTTTAAATTTCGTTGATAATTTTCGTGTTTAAAAAAAAGATGGAGAAATTACTAGTGTTATCAATTTTGACCAGTGTGATATCTTCGGGCTCATCGGACACAAGTAAGTTTTATTTGAAGAAAGTAGACTGACTGGTAGCAATTGTGTCACATGTGTCTTGCTGTGCCACTGTGATAAATAATGGTGATACATTCACGGCAACTTTCTGCCAAATTTATTTCCGTTGAATTTTCAAAAGTTATCCAGAACATAATTTGTTTTTTTCCTATACTTTCATAACTAGACCAAGACCACTCTTGTGTTATTTTAATGATGACTCAAACAATATTAGACTCGTGTTTAAAATACATGCTGCAAAAAAATTAAAATATCATTTAATTATTCTAATTATAAAATTTATTTCATTGACGCATTATTGAGAAAGTTCCGTGACACTTTCACTTACGTCTGTGTCAACTTACACAATTAGCACTCCTAAATTTTTCACTTGAACTTTACTGTTAATACTTTTTTTATATAATGTATAGGTAATTTTATCATACAACCTCACTCCCTGAAACATTTTATTTCCACAGCTATAGTACACAGAGGGAAAGGATTTTAATTATTGTACATTGTATATTTCCTCATGGAGTTATTATTTTGTTTTTAAGATAATAAGACTGTAAAAAGACTTGAAACAGTTGCTTACCTCGTCTGGGAATCGAACGGACTAAATGTGAAAAAAAACATGCTGTTTTTTACGATGTTTACTGTATTTTTATGATGCCGTTCGAAAAGGTCAATTAGTTCCATAGCTCAGTTGGGAGGACGATAGCGACGCCAGTCGGGTCGATGGGTTTTTTCGTATTTCTTCGGCCTTTGTATCATTGATAATAAGAAACTAATGCAGTATTTTTATAAACAATATATGCACGTCATGGCAGTAAAAACATCATGGTATTTAATAAAATAAATTTTGAACAATATTTTTTTTTCGCATGGATGAAACTTTTTACAGTAACCAAGTCGATGAGTGGGTAGAAAGCCCCGTATAACAATACACTTTAAAACTTTTCTTAATAATTACTCAGCAATTCTGTACGAAACTTTCATTCTGTGGTCAGTTTATACAACATCATACAGTGAACGAAATGGCTGATTCTACTTTTTATCCATCATAAGCATCGAACCTTTACGAAGATGTTTTTATAGCAAAAAACAACCAATTCTTTCATTATTACAATAATAGAATTCATAGTAATATTGAATCGCAGGAATGACATCTAAATTTATAATATTTTTTGAATAATTAGTAAGTACATGTGTATATTGTTTATGGGTAATATTTACATTATATGATCATAGAATACATCTGTATATTAGAGACTCAGTCTAAGCTTGGAATGTAATTTTTTTACTTTTAATTTCCATCAAATAGGTCGACTATATCTAACTATTCAAACCGCCTGAAATGTTTTGGAACATAGGACTACATTTTCTCGATGGAAATAAGTTTCTAAGGAAATCTGTTTTTTTTTTATATACATTATAATAGTTCTACATGTAAAAATTGGTCGTCTCACTAGTCTGGACCACTGTCCAACCAACCGGGAAGTGTCCCGGAGCGAATTCCCTTGATCTGATACTCATAGTACAGGGAAGCTAGCCTAAATCGAGACCAGGTTATTACTTTTATTAATCGACTTCAAAAAAAAGGAGGAGGTTCTCAATTCGACTGTATGTTTTTTTTGTATGTATGTTAAGCGATAACTCCGGTATTTGTGCACCGATTTTCATGATTCTTTTTTCGTGGGAAAGAGGATACCGCCATAGTGGTCCCATTTTATTTTGAAGAAAATCGGTGTTGCTGTTTACGCATGAAGATTCATTCATCAAGATTCATTTTTATAAATAGCGCCTAAATTTTATAATAAGGAGCAATTATTTTAATGGTTGATTTTGCTATTCTCTAATTCAAGGCGTTTTTCTCTCTCAATGTACTTTGAGTAGTGAGAACCGATTTTTATTTTCTCCTGTGTCAAGTTCCGTATAGTGGTGAACTAGGGGATGAATCCGGGTTTGCGCACTTTCCGGTAACCGAATCCAATAAAACTTGGCAAATAGATGTTATTCCACGTACTTTCGAGGTCGGTTTTTTATTATCTCCATGTCGTATCGATGACATACACTTTACTATTGTGACCCAGAACTCAGCTACGCCGACCGCGGCACCAGTAATCACAAATAGTCAAACCCAGGTCATCGTTTGAATCACACCGCACAAACTATCCAAACCCGGTACTCTCGTCCTCCGTCCGACATTCGTCCGAAACAATTACTGTGAAATAAGTAATTCTCCACCAAATTAAAAAACAATATCTTACACGAAGCTTCATTTGTATCATAAATAAATAAATAAATAACGCACACACTCAACATAACCCCGCACTAGGGAAACCCTGTGTCGCGGGTGCCATGGACACACACATAGACAACCACAAATTACACCCAAACTTACGAGAGAAATAATTGTAGGCCATACAACTATTTCTCCCGGCCCGGGAATCGAACCTGGGACCTCTACGTGGCAGTCCGGCATGGTAACCGTTCGGCCACAGAGGCAGTTAAATGCGTGCGTGTTTAAATATTTAAAAAAAATCATGCGTGTTTAAATTTGTTCTAACTGAATCCGAAGCCTTTTTAAAGACTTCCAGCAGGTCGATTGAGAACGATAACTCTGTTGTCGATGGATTCGATTTGATGTCGTACGATTTCTTTTCATTTTGATTTACAACACCCGAACCAAACGGCAAATAGTCGTATTCGAAACCGAACCGAAATGACGTCACACCCGTACGATTACTCGAACTTCTCGACCGGCAAAGGCTACAAACGTTATTCAGAACACAGTTTATCGAACGCCCGATTGTTTACAAAGCAAGAATGTAATATAGAAACGTCTTGTTCTTTTAAATAAAGTCTGGGATTTTATTCAATTTTCCTATTTTACAAAATATTATTGTAATGCAAGACTAATGCATTCCTATATTTAAGCCTTTAATTTCATTAAAAATGTATATACCTAAAAGGGTTTTCATATTTCACATAATCTATTTCACCGACTAACTCCGTAAACGCTGTTGGATAACGATTTGTTGTTGTTGGAATCCGAATGGAACGTTTAACTCGAATTTTCTGAATAGCTCGGAAAGTGCCCTTCGATTCGAGAACCAATCGAACTTCGAAAAGAGATATTTTATCGAACGATTCTGTTAAAATATCGAAAAGTTCTGAATCGGGGTCCTTATCGGCCATGGCAATTCGTATCCAGAATCAAGTCTCTGAGAAGGTTGGATTATTATTATCATCTATCTTTCTTTTATTAATTTTATAAATTTTACAAGAATGGGAATGAGAACCATGCTATAATCGCACCCGTCTAAAAGCCAGCAAACTTAATGGCGTATCAGTGTAGCTAAAAGAAATCCCATGCGGCTTACGTGTCGTTATATAAAACTGTCATTAGGCGGAAGAGGAAAGTGAAAATGTACAACGTGTTGAGTAAGTTACACGCAGGAGTGCACCGACACTTACAGACGTACTTAGCAATTTCTATCATAGTTTTGTACCCACCACTAGAAAATAATTGAACGGCTTTTGTGGTAAGGAACTTAAATAGAGCAGGAAAGAGTACAGCGAGACTGAGTATAGACGTACTTAAAGCAATTTCTATCAGAGTTTTGTATCTGTCTTTGAAACTACTTGAACGACTTGAACGAATGAAAGATCTCAAAAAGAGCAGGAGAGAGTACAACTACATTGAGTACAGACGTACTTAAAGCAATTTCTGACATAGTCTTGAACGTATCACTAGAAACTTCAACGGGTATAATTGCAAGATCTGATTGGGACTCTATTGAAAGTGGAGCGGCGTTTTATTACAGATTTTTTTGTATCACATTATGAGTCATTGTTAGCTTGTGATTTTTGCAAATTACTTAGGTACAATTTTCAAAGCCATCTTGGAAAGTTCAAAGAGCATCCAATTAAAATAAATTATTGATATTTTATTTTATTGCACCTTAAATTCCATTTAAAACGAATGAGTAACGATTATTATAATAACAGATGTAATGTTCAATGACGTAATACAATTTACGAATTCTTTCATTAGAAAAGGTAAATTCTATCGGAATAAAATTCAATACTATATGGAATATTTATCTACTCGCTTTACTGTCAACAACAATAAAAAATAATCGCGGTATAAATTCAGCGAGCTTACAAAATTTAACTCGAAAACTTTTTAAATTTAATAATTTCTAAAACATTTATAAATCGAAACAACGATAATCGTTTTAATTTAGTTTCGGATGGCACAATGAAACGCATCTGAATCAATGTCGGGTCGATATTCAGCCGAAGATCGTGATTTCACTGTATTTGCGGAATCCTTACTCCGAAACTTCATATTACAGCGCACATGAAATCAAACACTGTTATAATTCAAAATTGTGGAATTGAGAAAACACGACAAAGTTGAAAGTTAAAAAAAAATACTGAATAAAGCCAGTGAATTAATTAATTAATTATATCCTCGTTTATAAATGGATAATTAAACAAAAATAATCACATTACACCCAATAGTATGCCCATGCAGTATTTTTTCTAAATTTCGTTGCGTGTGCGAGATATAGTGTCGAAGTTAGCCAACATTTTCATCATAAAACCAACAAAAAAGCAACGATAGCAATCTTCTGTATATTAATTGCGATAGCTATACGACAAGAAATACGGGCAGATGTAATATAGAGACGACTCAAAGTAAGCGCAGTTTCTTGAGACCGCTTTTTGATGGTATTAAAGATGTCAGCGCCTACCAGTTGCGAAGCGTGAAAATTAGTAAATCCGGAGCAAAACAAAAAACACTTGCCTTCATAAACTTATTAGCGCACAAGATACTAGTACACTTTATTTCACTGGTTAATTATTCTACACATAAAATTAAGCACAAAATGTAGTAATTTTGATATTTGCTGATACGTGGAAATTTTTAGGCAAGTCGGTGGGCATCGAGTTACACTGGCGCCTACTGCGAGTGTTTCATAAAGTCTTTTTCT